ATATATATATATATATATATATATATATATATATATATATATATATATATCCTGCTAATTAACTTTTAATGTACTTTAGTTCACCATTAAATCTCTGATGAATCAGACTATACAAAAACATCTATATTTAAATTTTTACACGTTTTCTGCATCAGTTGATGTATTTGCACTGTTCTGACGTCGCATTTTAGAGCCAGTTCGACCCGGTTGGAACTCCAGTGAAAAAGTGACTGAAAAAAGGAATCGGTTCCACGAATAATTGCTAGTGGAAAAGCCTTGGAACTGTGCCGAGTCAAGTCGAACCGTGCTGTACTGGCGCTAATGGGAAAGGGATAATAGAGACAAACAACAATCCACATTCTCATCCACACCAAGAGACAATTTAGTTATCAGTTAACCTAACATGCATGTTTTAGGTCTGTAGGAGGAAACCGGAGTACTTAAAGAAAACTATCACTGTGGAGTTTTACTTACTTCATTGCCCATCCTTTCCATTTCACCAGATATTCAAGTCTTCCCTGCAAGAGAAACAAAGGTGGATTATGAAAATAAGAAGATGCAGCAAAGGACACAGATTTAAAAAATTATCCCTAAAATATCAAACGATTTGAAAGTTTCACCATTAGCCCGGCCGATATATCGGTAGGGCCGATATTTTAGGCCCCTACAGACCTTCAGGGACATATCGTATCGATGATAATTGTCCCATTATGCGCCGATATAAACACTTCTAATTTTCTCCCTAAAATGCTGGAACCAGCTGTGTCCTTACTTGCAAATATCATAATTGCATAATGTTTCCAGCAGAGGGCGCATGTGGACTACTTTCAAGTCATGGCCGTGCTTGTCATTAGCTATGTGCCTCTCAAGTTAGCAAGATTAGATAACAAAGCATAGGCTATTGCCTTTGAATACTTTAACTAGAACAATAAATCTAACAAAGCAGTAAATGTATATCAGTGTTAATGTTATCTGTGTCATCCTGAATCATCTGAAATCTTTACTCCTCTGCAAAGAAAAGAAAAATACACTGCTGGGGTAAATACTAATTAGGCCTTCAACATACGTGACTGACTGTTGAAACAATGAACATGGAAGAATATTTCTTTGTTTAATTTATATATTTTTTAACACACTTGATATCTTTATATTATAGTGGCAGATAAAAAATGTGAACACACATTAGAACAACTGTTTCAAGACTTCAAGTGGTAAAACAAGTTTAAAAGTAGCTGTTTACTTAAGATTCTTGGGGGTGGACAAAGCTAAAAAATTTTCAGCCATTATATCGGTTATCGGCATTAACCTTTCCCCTCCCAATACACAGATATCGGCTAGGCCTGTCGCGATAACAAACTTTACTGGGCGATTAATTGCCTCCGAAATTATTGCGATACACGATAATATTGTTTGAAATTTGACGGTAATTAGTATTTATTGTCAAATTTAAGAATAAATGTTGGTTAATTTGAGTGTAGTATCTTTGTTTGACCAACGGATAGCAGTTTAAGACTATTTGAACCAAAGGATGGACAGTGAGGGAGCGAGCAGCGTGTCTCTCTAAGAAAAATGGGAGGGAGGCCCCTTGACGTGACATGGGTTGTCTCTCTCCTTTTTTTTTGGTTCTCAAAATGGTGGACGCTCGGTGTGCTTCGAGCTCTTTAGCATAGCATTTTTCACACAAAGCTTTTAATATAAAATCAGTAAACAAGTTCTCAGCTTCTTTTTGCGGAGAAAAACAACTTTTTACACAAAGGCACGGGTTTCAACTGTGAATTTTGGAGTTTCGAAAAGACGGAGTTTTTTCCCCCGAGGTCGGCCTGTTAGCTTCGCTCGTAGCTTAGCTGCTTTTAACGATCAAACAAATGTGGACGGTTAAAACAGATTTTAAAGAGAAAGGGAGGGGTCAGTGAAGAGCACCGGAGTTGAGCCTTTTGTCATCCAGCGTCTTCAGTCGAAAGAGAGACACACAAAGAAACGATAAAGCCGATAATTAAAAAAGAAGTCGATAATTTTCATTTATCACGCGCTTAATTGATTTATTGTTTATCGCGATAGGCCTTGTATCGCAACAGCCAAAATTTCCATATCGGTCGGGCTCTAATAATAATAATAACTGTGTGCATTTTACTTTATTTCTCTAAACTCGTGTATCTGTTTTAGTCTAAAAAGTACATTTGTCAAGTAACACTTCAACACTGATGATCAAGATCTGGATAATTACACACAACCTCATAAATGCCTCATTGGGCGGTTGTGGCTGAGTACTTAGAGCAGTCATCCTCCAATAGGAGAGTTGGGGGTTCAATTCCACCAGCACTCACATGCTGAAGTGTACCTCAGCAAGACGCTGAACCCCTCATTGCCTCCGATGTGCAACCCATTGGTGCATGAAAGTGATAAAGCGCTGCTTATTCTTTGTATAGATCTAGTAGAATGCTGTGTAAATGGGTAAACGAGGACACAGATCGTGTTGTAAACAGCTTCGAGTACCTTGATA